ATAATAAACTAATTATTTCAATTTTTTTTTTGTTTTCTGCAAATCAAATTCGCATTCCAGGTTGGTTCATTCTGCATAGAAGAAAAGATGAAGATGATTCACGCTCCTTAACAATGTATACATATAATTTTCTTTGAATAAACGTTATACATAAAATTTTTTGAATATTTTTTTCGGCATGGAACGCATTATCATATTTTACATTAATTTATATGGGAAAAATTGTTTCGCTTAACAAGCGTTTTGCATTACGAGTAAGATTCTGGAATGAATTATGCTCATTAAGGGAGGTTCCACTGTACTAGGTTAATTATGTAGACAAGGGGTTCCCAAACTATTTTGGAACACAAATCACTTACTGTGTGGATCTTTTGTGGATCACACAGGTATTTAACAAAATATTTTGAGATTTCTGAACAGAATGAGACAGAAATTTAGTCAAAAGTTACATCCCAGTGACTTCTAAAATGAAAATATAAATATTGTAGCATGTGTAGACCTGTTGCTAAGTAATGACTCTGTAAACAGTGGCCATTGCTAGGTAATAGCCACAACATACATGCATGCAACAGTAGAAGGGTTGTTGGAAGTGGTGCTTTCTATAGGTCTGGTCCGAGACTATGTCACTTGACCGTATGAGTTTAGTGTAACTAGTGCAGTGGAATTAGTGCAGCGAAACGTAATAGAATTAGTGGAATGGAGGCGAGTCAAATTGAGTCTGACAGGTGGAACCCAGTTAGTTCAGTTGGGCAGCTGCAATGACCTAGGTAGGTGACAGACGGTGAGGGCATGAAGCCAAGAACTCAGAAGTTGAGGGATCTCTGTCACTGGAAACTGTTACCAGACAATGATTAGTGAAGACACACCAGAGTGAGAAGACTTAGTATGTGCTGTAGTGAACTGCAGAGTGTGTGAATTAGCATTAGCGCTGTAGTTACTTGCAGTTATGATCTGTAAGTGCTCAGTAAATCCAGTTACCCATCCAGACCCCATTTATATAGCAACTCTGTCACATTACAGTATATTGCCGTGCAACTTACAAGTTTATTTATGCATAAATGAAGGACCTGACCACTTCTTTCCACATGTTTCCAGTTCTTCATTAACCTTTTACCCCATCAGCTGATTGAAACCTCCATCATCTCTGTCATTCAATGCCTGAGATACTGATAGCACTGTTAAATTAAGCACAAAGAAAGAAATAATTAGACACATCTGTAGAATGTGTTTATTCCAAATATGAGTATTACCTAACATTCTTGTTCATTTTACCTTTTCAGTTACATTTTATATGATATGGACTGTGGTCATTACATCATTGTAATCATCACACTCATTTCACATTGGTTTGATTTAGGTGCAGTACAACTAGTAGATGTTTCATCCCAACTCCCTGGGCTGAAATATCGACAGGGGCTAGTGCATTGGCTCCCAACATCCCGTGATATGCGAGGGTACACCAGTTACAATGATGTTCCTGAGAAATGGCAGACACAAGTTAGACCACAGATGTTCCCCCCTTCACCTGAAGATGCACACAAGTTTAACTTAGAGAGGTGGTAAGTAGGATCTTATTCACTGAAAAGTACAGGTACAGGATCTAAGGTATTATCCACAGGTGCAGTTAGATCCTAAATGAATTAGTAGCTTTCTTTACTGTTAATTATTGGTTTCCAAAATTTACTTCTATTCCACTAGAATAAAGCTGGTCGAAATTTTAACAAGAAATTGTTGCAGTAATCATCACTGAATTCAGAGCATAAAATCTCTTGATAAAATAATGTGTGCATATACAACATTTTTTGTCCTATAAAACAAACTTCATCAAAAGTTCTGAAATTCAGAAACATGAAATATTTTGCTACAAGCTGGAAGGTCACAGGTTCAATTCCCAATGAGGTTTTGGAGTTAGCCATTGACCTAAACCTTCCAGCCACACTATTGCCATGGGATCAACTCAACCTGTAACAGAAATGAATACCAGGAATCATCCTGGGGTTAAGGGCAGCTGGTGCATGAAGCTGACAACCTCACTGCCATCTATGAGCCAGCTGTCTAGAAAATGTGAGAGTCTCGACATCTCACAACCCTATGGGGCTCCAACCGCTCTTACAGGGATAGTTTTTTTCTTTTCTTTTTTGTACTACACTTGATAAGAAAACAATTTACACTAAATAATGCTGCTGTCTAGAGAGAGACTGTGAGCTGGTTCTGGCAGGGAGGTACGCTATACTCGTAGTATTGACCAAAACATACCTTTTACTGCTGTTTATCATGGCTATCTTCCACCCCTACTCATAATTACTATCATCTAATAGTGCTGATGTACACAATTATAGAATAGCAGTTGTTAACCACTTCCTTGAAAAATTGTTTCCAAACATTTCTCTCTCGTGTGCATTCTTTTGTTTGGTGATCTAGGAATAGTCGTTAGTTTGTGTACCTGAGATAGTCAGCTCTGTCTCTGTTAACCTGCTCTAAGCTGCATTTTTTCATAATTTGTAAAAGTTATTGTTGATTCTTGATACCTCAGTAATTAATGTAGCGTTATCAACTAATCTGTAAATTAATACTAGACATATGCAGGAACGACCTCTTTTGTTTTTGATGAGACAGATTCAAGGATCAGGAAAAGAATGGGTGATTTCTTAATGACACTAATTTTTTTCACTGTTGTGATTTATAACACTAAGCACTTGCTCACAGTGCACTAAAGTGTACTGTATTTTTTGTTATATCAGACACTAACACCACATGCAGATACGGAGAAAGTTGCAGTATGGCAGAAAGGAGAAGAGGAGAAATTTTGATGACAGCGTCGCTGACCATTATAATTTTTATGGATTAGATAGTTTGTGCACCATTGCACAAAGCAAGAGCAGTTATCTGAAAGTTCTCAAAGTTTAGGACTGAAAAATCAGTGCTGAAATTGATTTTAAATGTTTTCCTTGATTAGATCCCGAAAATTCAGGCCTCACACATGCCTATTTAATGAAGTTAATTATATAGAGGTACTGTTTGTGTCATTCTGTTTCACACATTCTTACATATAATGGAATTCCTATGTAGACTTTCAATATTAATTGACCCTTTTCCACTTCTCTTTATTTCTGGCCACGTTCCTGCCAGCTGCAACAAATGAATGTAAGATAACATATGCACAAGCTGGTAAAGAAAATATAAAAACTCCTGCCACCAGTTTCCTGTATATGTGAAATACTAGCAGATACAGTCAACTCTTGATTATCCGTGGGGGCGGATTAACCTTTAAGTGACGGCCCTTTAAATTCCGGTAACGGCAGCAGGACGGATTTGATTTAAATACCCGCAATATTAAAGCAATAAAAACTGTAATCATTTCCTAAAATTGCTGTGATTTCTACAATTTTTGTGATAAACGAACCAAATAAACGCTGTTTTTTTCTAGAAAGAATATAGAATCAGATATTATAAATTAGAGACTTTATAAAATGTGTAAAAATTTTTAGACTGATTCCAAGTATAAAATTCCCAAATTTGTTGTCAGCCTACAAGAATTCATATAGTTCTTGGAAGCAAGAACGCTCTATGCAGATGTGGCAACACAGGCAACACAGCGGATTGTTATGAAGATGATTATGTTTAGTCTCGCATGTCTCGAAGCATATACACGTACCTTCTTTGGTATGCAGAGATGTGGGCCTGTATATCTCCGTTTATAAGAACGTTGATTGTTTATACACAACA